CAAGCTACATCTGACTAACATCAATGAATATCCCATGGTGTTCAAACTTCACCGTTATATCCATGGTCACGAAAACATTCGCATATCCGTGGACCTACCAGCCTATTGGCGTACCTTCCTCGCAATATTATATCTCCCACCCAATCCACCTTTTTTTATTTAAAAGGCGCTCAGGAATACCTACATATACTCATACACATTTTCCATCTGAATACGAAATCTCATAAAAATTTACGCATGTGAAGATATAATAGGAGAATGGAGAGCCCAGGAGAATGGGGTCAACCAAGTCACATCTATTACTATTCCCTCTAACCTACCCCTTTGCAATGATAAAACAGATTCCCGTCCAGGGAGATACATGATACTATACTACCTCACTAAGTGGTGGTAAAGTCAAAAACGGTATAGGACACTTACTTAAATTAACAAAAACCTTTATATACGAGTATACTAACGGTACAATTTCACAAGTAGTTCAGTCCTAAAAAGACATACTAATAGCCTCTCTAATCGTATCGCGGGGCAAGGTCTAACACATTTTAAAGATGTTAGACTTTCTTTTACAGCCTTTTCAGTTTGCGTAAAAGATTAAAAGTAACTGCCTAAATACATCCCAATGCTGGACAAAGTCTTCTCTTATCTTAGAGTATTAAGAAGTAATTATTCCGAAGCGCTACTTCAATACGTCTTGGCTGACATCGCATCTTCGAAATATTCACTCAGGTTTACAGAATTAGGGTGGCAAATGAGTACGTGGTCCACTTGATGGTAAGCTGTTGCTGTAGTCCATAGAAACCTACATTTACCCTCAACTAAAAACCAAAATTCAGATGCGTTAGCCCTCTTGAGTATATGCAATGCCCCTTTTTTATAGAAGAGGGGGCAAACGAGCACTTGGCTCACCTGATGGTAAGTGACTAAGACTGCCCATGAACAACCGCAACACCATGGGAATCGCAGGTGCGTTGCCGGCCTTTTTGAAAGGAGTAAGCTGTTGAAGGTCCCTAAGTCGTATCGGTCCGGAAAAATCGCCGGTGGTAAACAATTCCACAACAAGTTGTACGAGGAAGAAAACTTCTAGTAAAAAGTACAGTAGTGGACGCCAAGCATCCAGATAGTGTGATGGTGATGGTGATGGTGAAATTTGGCGGCTGAAATTAATCTGAACAATTCCCACAAAATCCCCGTGGTAGATACGATAGAAAACGCGCAAATAACTTGGTCGTCGACGATTCCAATCGTTTTGCGTTGGATGCGGTCAAGTTGAAGGAGCTGGCACTGGGGTGCCCCGGCCCAAAGATGAGAACAGTATTCCATGTGAAGCCAAACTTGCGCTTTGTAAAGTTGCAAGTGATGTGCCTGCGTGAATTATTGTCTCGCTCTGCCGAGCACGCTAAGCTTTTTATAGGCCAATCTGGCCTTCCCCTCCAAGTGACCACGAAACTGCACACCATTCGATATGTCGACGCTGAGGATTCAGATCTTAGCTGAGGTAGCAAGGGGAGTGCCCTCAAACTGAGGAGATACGACAAAGAGTTTCTTTTAAGCGGTTAACGCGCAAACTTATGTCTTCTGGGAATTGAATTGGACTAAATTTAGTCGCCCCCAATCCAAAACTTTGTTAAGCGAAGACTCGACTTCAGACACAAGATGACCCGGTACTCGGCAATGTTTTCGTTTTTTCTTTTTCGTTGAGCGGTCGCCTTTTATAGGGATTGGGTGTACCAAAGCTGTCTTCCAAGAGTTTAAGACTACACCTTGGGAGTTGGAGTACCGGAAAAGACGTGTTAAAACCGGTACCAACTCTTGGGCATACGTTTTCAGCACAATAGGAGGGACTCCATCAGGCCCATTCGACGAGGGAGAGGAATTTTTTGCGAACCGAGCGCTGTGTAAGCCGCACAGCGGCATGGAGCACTCACACCGCGGGATGGGCGGCGTTTTGTTCCCCCCGTCGATTTGGGTTGGATGCAAAGAGAGAGCCTAACAGACCAGCTTTCTCCTTTACGGCATGAGCCAGTGAGTCGTCCTCTCTGTGTAGAGTTGGAAGAGATAACTGAAAAAAGTTCCCTTGGACAGCATTGGCGAGAGACCAAAATGCACGGGTTCCCGAAAGAAGGCGAACTAGCTTATTGCAAATTCTGCTGATGTGCTCAGACCTTGCTTTGGCAATAACCCTTTTGAAGGATCTGAAGGTGGAATTATACTTCTTTTTAAGAGCGCTGGTGTATATATTCCGAGACGTTGATACGTCAGCCCAGGCTTCTGCTTATAGCGTGGTGCTATTTTACAGCAGCGACGAAACCATGGCTATGATCGGTCTCCGATGGACACAAAGGACAGAATAAAATGTTCCAGTCAGTAGTAGTTTCTCGTTTACAGTATATAAAGTTTCTCAGCATAACGATAATATTATACGCTGTTATTCTGTGAGAACTAAGTCTTTCTCCGATCGAGCCGACACATTCGTGCGACGGTCATAATATAGATGCAGCATAGCTCTACCGCGTAAAAAGGTAAAGCACTTAGAATAGCATACTAGTTTTTACTGTAAATAATAAAATATTTCACGACTTTTATGCACGCAGCTTTGAACTTTAAACGAATTTCTAACACGCTCTCACTCCACTTAAAGTTGAATTTTTCAATTAAGTTTTCTAGCCTATACGGATGTATTATACCATATTTACTACTCGTAAAACCTGTATTTATAAGTCTCACTCCGGAAAATTACAACCACTTACATTCAGGTGAACTTTTAGGCGTTTGTTAATTCTGTAAAAAAAATGATAATTCACAAATTTGTTGCAGTTCACAAAGTTGAAAAGTATCAAAATACTAATAATATCAAAATACTTTTCAACTTTGTGAACTGCCACAAATTTGTGAATTATCAAGTTTTTTTACAAAATTAACAAACGCCTAAAAGTTCACCTGATTGTTAGTGGTTACTGCAGTCCATAGACACCTACGACCAACTTTGAGCAAAGAAGACAAGAAGTTGGTATCTACCAGATGGACTTTTTAGCGAAATAGGAATCCTAACATCCGAATTACTCAAAAAGCTTGATATATTCCCAATGTATGACTATATAACTGACATCGATGTGTAAATTTTTGTTAAATTAATCAAGGAGATTTTTTTATTTTAAAAACGATAATGGGAACACTAGTTAACTCAGGGTATAAAAGAACGGCTTGAAAAGGCACAGCGGAACTAGTGCTTTGGAGGAGTATTGGTAGGTCACTTATCACAAAGAACATTATGAGTGTTGTATTAAAATATTAACCCGAGTATAAAAGTATTAACAAAGTAATCCTTGTTTCAATCCTGCATCCGGAATTAAAGAAAAGCCAACTGATGCATTCTTTAAATGTAATTAAGTTTTACGGATTTTATCCTCTAAATCAACTTATTTTAAATTCCCAATGTTTCTTGTACTTTAAAACACTCATAAGGGGGACTAAAATAAGTTAACATACGTGATAAAATCCGTAAATCTAAATTTCGTTTAAATGTGTAGTGTTTGCGTAAATATAAGAAGTCTTCATGCATTCTTCTCCTTGTTCTCCTTCATCTGCTCGTATAAAATCCCTGCTAGACCTATGCTTCTACCGTGGTCGGGAAGATTTTTTTATCGTTGTTTAAAAAACATGATTTTTTCTATCAATACCCATTATCGCCCCCTACGATACCCTCGGTATGACGGGAAATGACGGATTCTTTTACATCCCATTCACAGTAATTGATACATAAGTTGCATACTTTGTAGGCGAATCAATATACTCAGTAGTAGATACACCAATTAGCGATCAATATACTCAGTACTAGATACACTAAATAGTGAATCAATATACTCAGTACTAGATATACCAAATAGGGAATCAATATACTCAGTACTAGATACACCAAATAGCGTATCAATATACTCAGTACTAGATACACCAAATAGCGAATCAATACACTCAGTACTAGATACACCAAATAGCGAATCAATATACGCAGTACGAGATACACCAATTAGCGAATCAATATACTCAGTACTAGATACACCAAATAGCGAATCAATATACTCAGTACTAGATACACCAATTAGCGATTCAATATACTTAGTACTAGATACACCAAATACTCTCTCCCGACGTCAGTCTTGGCATTTTACAACTAAAAAATAGACACATCTAGATGGCCATACTAGTATACGCCAACTAATTTTGAAATGTAATTTTGTAATTTTAAATAGATATAATACATAAGTGTAACCTGTTAATTGAGAGTCAAATAAATTATTATTATTATTATCTATGTCCTAAATTAAAATCCATAGAAAAGAAAAATATTTTGTATAGTATTCCTTTTATTTTATTCATATAATTCAGCAAATAAAAGTTCACAGCTGAACATGGCCTATGTTAGATAGATATATAGATAGATATAGATATACCCCCATAGATTACCCCTCATAGGTAGGATTTTGCCATAGTTGCTACGCTAATCAGGCGGGTTGAAAGCCGATTTTTTATTTTGAATTGTTATCAGGAAGATGCTGCTGCTTATCACACATTTTATTTTTCTTCTGACGCCTCTTTACTACACTCACGGGAATCGTTGCATATCGATGTGAGTGGATATTCTTACACCGTCTCTACACTTATTTAATGGTGAATTTATTAGCTCGAACAGTCAATACGAGTAATTAATGCAATGAAATACTTAATTGATTTACTTGTAGCCAACTAATAACTTGTTGATATTCCTGTAATAATAATAATAATTATTATTGGCGTAGGGAAGTGACGACCCCATCGCCCGCTGACGTAACAGTTATGTGACAAAACTGCTACGTCGGCGCAGTCAGTCAGCATCCTGCCAAGAGGTGTGAGCGCCGTGCCTAGGCAAAATTGTAGGTGCAAAGGTCCGTTTGTGCATATGACCCAACCACGAAACGGTGCCGGGTTTGGGCGTCTCCCGTTATTTGGCGCCCATAAAATGGATGATGGCACAAAGAGGAACGCGCATAGGGCCGCTGCCTGGGGGTCGCCGGGGCGCGTCTGGAGCTGGCGCTGGACGCGGCAGCATGCGGGCCGCCAGCCGAGCGCGAGGAGCTGCACGATCACTTAGCAGCCCCTCGCATCCATCATCCCCACCAGAAGGCTTGGTGTCGGCTGGGTCTTCTCGGACTCAGCAAGCGGCACCCGCCGCTGGTGGAGCACGTCGCATGCGTTGGACAAAACCTATGAATGAAAACGCATTGCGGGCGTACTATAGGGCGAAAGGGGAAGAAACTGTGGGAATAGCGTATAGGTCTCGGATGCATTGCTTTTTTGCTGAGCTGGAGCCTTCTACCCCCGTCACGGAACAAAACCTGGCAGACCGAGTTCGGTACATCATGCGCTCGAAAATATTTGATGATGCCGAACTCGGACGACTACGACGTGAGGCTATTCCGTCGTCGAATGAATCGGCTATGGCTGGAGATGCAGCTCCACATTCGACAGACCAGCATCCACACGTGGAAGCCGCCCTGGATCTTCCCGTTGTGGTTGATTCGAACGACGATGAAATAGTCTCCCACGAACTAGAGAAAATGAGGAGTATACTGGAAGAGGCGATTTTGGAAACGCGCAGCACCCCTATCGAAAATCGACCGCGACTTCCCCGCATACCCCTAAGCAAGCGAAATCGGGCTGTCGTGAGGGCTCTTAACCCAATGCTGGTGACCTATTTGGAAGCCAGCCGGGACCTTTGCGAGACGGACTCAATTCTCTTTGGCGCCGCAGTGGCAGTTTGCCGTATTATTGGCGCCAAACTTCCCATGGCTGGACGCGCTACTACACAAAGTAGCGCCATCCCAGCCTGGAGAAAAAGAATCGAGGACCGTATCGCAAAGGCAAGGGCCCTTATCGGCAGACTGACAAGCTTCAGGTCGGGTAATAATAGACCGAGGATTATGCGCGCCGTTAGGATGGCGTTTGCTGGGAAAAATATCAGTTTGTCCCAGCCGGATATCACGCAGAAACTAACGGAGCGCATAGACGACCTGAAGCAAAAGATCGCTGCTTGGGGGAAGCGGATTCGACGATTTACCGACAGGTCAAGGCGGTTCAACCAGAATCGTCTCTTCCAGAGTGATCAGAAGAGGCTCTATAAATCATTGGAGCGGCCAAAGGTATGTGGAGCGGGCCAAGGACCGGATCAGGCAGACATTATCGCATTCTGGCGTGGCCTGTGGTCAGAGCCCGTAAACCACAGCGAGGGCCCTTGGATGGAAGTTGTGGCGAGCCAGGGTGCGAGTGTTACGCCTATGGACCCCATCACCGTAACGCCGGAAGACGTGGCTGAGGCGGTCCGTAGGGCCCCGAACTGGAAAAGTCCGGGGCTCGACGGGCTGCATCATTACTGGCTGAAGGGGTTCATAGTGTGTCACGCTGTGCTCGCCCGACAGTTTCAAGAGGCTCTCGACCAGAAGTCGCTCCCGAGCCTCTTCACTACTGGGATCACTCACTTGGTTCCTAAAGATCAGGATACCACAGACCCGAGCAAATACCGCCCCATCACGTGTCTACCCACCATATATAAGACACTGACATCCATTTTGAGCGCGAGAATCACTCGGCACCTGGAGCTAAACCAGTTGATGTCACGCGCTCAAAATGGATGTCGGGGCGGTGGTCGTGGAACCAAGGAACCACTCCTCATTGACGCGGTCATTGGCAAAGTGGTGAAACGCAACCGTCGGAACTTCTCTGCCGCCTGGATAGACTATAGAAAGGCATTCGAGTCGGTGCCCCATACATGGCTAAAGAGGGTCCTCGAGCTGTACAAGATTGACTGTACAGTTAGAGACTTCCTCGAGCAGTGTATGGGGCAGTGGAGTACGATCCTTTGTCATCTGGGCGAGCGGATGATGGCTGCGGAGAACCACATAAGGATAAGAAGGGGTATCTTCCAGGGCGATTGTCTGAGTCCAATCTGGTTCTGCCTCTCTCTAAACCCTCTCAGTACCTTACTGGAGGGCTCCGGGAGGGGATTTCAGCTACGGAGAGGAGGGACAAAAGTGACCCACCTTTTTCTATATGGATGACCTCAAGTTATTCGCCTCCAGTCGCTCCCATCTTATGGAACTGCTAAACATCACTTGTGAATTTAGCAGTTCCATTGGAATGGAGCTGGGGACGGATAAGTGTGCGGTCCTCCATGTTGAGAGGGGAAGGGTTGCTAACTCTGAGGGCATAGACTTGTCTATGCCCGTCAACTTAAGGACCCTTTCCGAGGCTGAAACATACCGATACCTGGGTATGTCACAGAACATCGGTATCGATGAGGCTGGTATGAAACAGTCAGTTTGCGACGTGTTTTATGCACGCTTGACCAAAGTGCTTAACAGCCTTTTGTCCGGTGTGAATAAGTCACACGCATATAATTGCTGGGTCATGCCTGTCCTCATGTATACCTTTGGCATACTCAGGTGGACTCAGACTGAGCTTAACGCCCTGGATAGAAAAGTCCGCACTACCATGACGTCCCATAGGATGCATCATCCGAGATCGTCGGTAATGAGGCTGTACTTGCCGCGAAAGCATGGTGGGCGTGGCTTTCTGAGCGCGCTCACCATGCATAATCGCGAAGTGTGCAGTCTCCGTCAATACTTCTTGACGAGATCGGATGATCCATTCTATAATGACGTCATTTCTAGTGATAAAGGGCTTACCCCTCTATCCTTAGCCAACGAGCAATGGCAGGACCCGGCAGTGCTTAGCATTCCCGACCGGGAGACCGTATGGAAGGAGAAGGAGCTCCACCGGAGGTACTACAAGGCTCTACATGAGCCCTTCGTAGATACAGTCGCCTCCCTCAACTGGCTACGTTTCGGTGACCTTTTCGGGGGAAACCGAGGGTTTTGTCTGTGCAATACAAGATCAGGTTATTAAGACCAACAACTATCGGAGATACATCCTAAAGGATGGCACCGTCGACGTCTGTCGAGCTTGTCGCCATCCCGGGGAGTCACTTAGGCATGTCATCTCCGGTTGTTCGGCGCTTTCTAACTCTGAGTACTTGCACAGGCACAACCTAGTAGCCAGAATTCTACACCAGGAGCTCGCTCTGAAATACGGTCTCGTGGACCGGAAAGTGCCGTATTACAAGTACTTGCCGGAAGCCGTGCTCGAAAATGACCGCGCCAGGCTCTACTGGGACCGGGCCATCATCACAGACAGGACTATTCTTGCGAATAAACCTGATATTGTGCTGATGGACCGGGCACAGTCAAGAATATTTTTGGTCGATATTACCATCCCGTATGACGAGAACCTCGTGAAAGCCGAAACAGATAAGCAATCAAAGTATCTGGACCTGGCTCACGAGGTGACCGACATGTGGGGTGGTATGCCGACCGAAATTATTCCTGTAGTCGTCTCTGCGAATGGGCTAATCCCAGTTAGCCTCTCTGGTCATCTGAGGCGACTGGGACTCCGTGACGGACCGCTCCGGGCTCAAATGCAGAAGGCGGTGCTCCTTGATACTGCCCGCATCGTCCGCCGGTTTCTTTCCCTTTCCCCCTAACCCTCGGCCGTTTGGTCTCCCCTGCCGAGGGCTTCCATCTGGTTGGGCTTTTATTTATTTATGTATTTTTGTATTTATTTTATTTTATTAATATTTATGTATATTTATCTTTTCATTTTCATTTATAATTATATATTTATACATCCCAACCAGATGAGAAAACTATATAGATACCCCACATAATAATTATAATAATATAATAATTATTATTATCAAAGCAAAAATAATAATATAATAATAATTATTATTAAAGCATAATTCGTGATAATCTAAAAAAATTAATTACTAATTTTTAATAATCCACTCTCTAAATGATTAGCTGTTTAAAAAGCAAATGTGGTGTCTTATTTGAAGTTCTTAGATGGTTGGCACCAAGTTACCTTTAAAACGGTTTCCCACTATTGTCTGGGTATTATATATACGTTTTATTGTCACTGGTTCTAAATACGTCCGTAAAATTTCTCACTATTTAGACATCAGAAAGTGGGTTAGGTTAGGTTAGGTTAGGTATATATATATATATATATATATATATATATATATATATATATATATATATATAATCGGAATCTCGGAAACTGCTCCAACGATTTTCATAAAATTTTGTGTGCAGGGAGTTTCGGGGGCAATAAATCGATCTAGCTAGGATTTATTTTTGGAAAATGTCTTTTTGTCCATGTTTTTAGGCAATGAAAAACTGCTACAATATCGTTAGAATAATAAGGTAAATTTTGACAGTTTATTAATAATTACAAATAGCTTAATTGGTATATTGGGCGGCCACAAAATCGTAATACCATGGTTCGAGCCCAGACCGACCGACCGACTTTATTTAATTTTTTTTTCAATTTCCTTTCTTTTTTGAGAAAATCTATTTATTCGAGCCCTTTTTTAATATTTTTTAATAACACGAAAATTTAAATTAAACTAATTGCACTCATGATTTTTTATTCAAATAACCAGTTCAGTTTTTTCTATTATGTCGCTAAGGTAAAAAATCGATCGACCGGGTACTATATATATATATATATAGGCAGATCAAGATAGTAAAAGCGCGTTAAATACATCAATAATTTAATAACTAATTATAACTTTTTAAAGTCAGTAGAAGAAATTTCAAAATTTTCAAATTTTCCAGCTGATTTCATGTTGAATGTCTCCGAAATTTCACTGCTAGACATAAATGTAACATATTTCGTATAATATGTTAAATCCCCTTAAGGCAATCTACAGGATACAGGAATTTCCCAGTTTATTACAATAATACTTACACTGTTGTTGCGTCTGGAGTCCCCAAGTCTCCCTTTGTTTAAAAATGAGGTGTTGTTGGGACGTGATTTGTTTTCTGAATGGATCAGCCGCTGCATGAGCAATTTATATTCGCGATCATGTTTTGAACAAAGGCGTTGACTTTGTAATTTTTTTATCATTATATTTATTTCCATTACATGAATATTTTCAAAAAGGACGGATTTCTTTTGGAAAATTAAATATTGCGAAACATCTGACGTCGTATGTTAATTGAGTAAGGGAAATCTTATCACATAAGATGATATTGAATACACCCTATAAACATGCCTATAATTTATTGAATATGATCCAAAATCGAAAATCTGGTAATTTTTTTAATACCTTCAAGTATCTTATGTAACTTTCATGAAATCACCTACACACAACTTCGAGAGCCATTATCTCAACCTAGACAACTTCATGACCTAAGTAATTTGGTATAATTATCTAGGATATATTAAGATAATGTGGCTGTTCACGAAGTTGTATTTGTTCCTACTTTAATGTATGGTAGTGAAAGTATTGTGTGGCAGAAGAAGCCCGAGCGTAGAATAAATGCTGTAGAAATACGGTCATCGAGGAGTAAGTGAGGACTGAATCTGAATAAGAGAAAAGTTTAGCTTGCAAGATGATGTTTACAAACCAAACTTTTCTGTGATGACCAGGATTAAGAACGGAATACTTAGGTAGTTTGGTCTTTTAGAAAGAATGAATGAGGAAAGTGAAGTCTACAGTTTGCAAAAAAAGCTGCGTAGCACTTGAAATGTCAGGAATTAAAAATAAATAAAATTAAACGTGATAAAATCCGAAAAAACAATTATTTTATTCATTGTGTAGTGTTCCTGTAAATATTTCTAAAAGGATATATAAAAATAATATATTTGGCACGATTCTTAACTCATAGTTTTTAACATCGTTAATTTAAAATAGTGCCTAATAATGTGTGTGTAAGACGTGTATCATTCTAAGAATTTTTATATCCATATATTTTGCAAGAAATCCACTATTCCAAATTTTATTTTAATGGCACAATCGGAAGGTTGAATTTCATAAACAAAAGATGTAGTAAATTCTCTCTTATAGAATTTGATGACAAAATCACTTAAGGAGCGCATTTTTTTACATAATTTAATAAAGCTCGGACAAAATGAAATTAGGTTATTATCCGCTATGTATTTTGAAACGAGCACACAGCCCACCTGATGGTAATCGAAAGCTGTGGCCTAACTTACATTATTTTTGACCTACATTTATCCTCGATTAAGAATCAAACGCGGAGGCGTTGTCACGCCTGAGGACTATGACAAAATGCTCTGTTTCTAGCAACCGCTCGTTTGCTTCTTGCAACCACAGTTGCAAAAACAGAATCCTAAACTTTGCTCTTTGCAACTGTAGTTGCAAAGCGATGAAGTTCTTTTAATTGAATTTAGACCGTATTTTAAACGCACAGAGTCTAACTATTACGTATAAAACCAAAAACAAATATATAAATCACAGATTTGGATCAAAATTACCAACCTCTTGCACGAAAAATATTGAAACTTTGTAAGTTTATTGAGTGAAGTGACGCTTGAGTGGATTTAACGAGGTCATAAAATATGCCATGAGTATTGAATTTTATTGATTTTTGCTAGTATTTATATACCAAATTAACGTCTTATTTGTGCTATATTTGCAAATAGTGTACGAAAAATGTGATAAAGTCGACTTTTAAAAATACTCAGAATGACGCGATACTAAACATAATTTTCTATAGCTTACATTATCGTAATTATGTTGTATTCTTTAAATACGAAATAGTCGTAGTGGTATTTGAATATAATTATTCAATTTAAGTAATAAAGTTTTATAAATTGTTCATCATATTATAACATAAGTTTTTATGTAATAACAGCCTAGATTGTAACTAACAAATAGCAATCAATTGCGCAATCCGTGAATTCTTCATCAGGTTTCACTTAATATTTTACTATGTATTTAAATACAAGTCGTTTTATAATATAGCCAGATATATCAAGTAATTCATTAAGTTTAAGGATATAATAAATAATCATACAACTATCGATCTTATTGTTTTCATAAACCCGATGTTTTACAAAAAGTCGCTGAAATGGCTTGTACTTGTTATCCTAAAATATTATTGTTATCATATTTTGATAGAATAACATACGTATTTCTTTTCTTATTTCAATGGCTATTCATAAAATTTAAAATATTTGAAGTGTTCCTCTCGAGTAAGTCGTAAATTAAGTTTTATTGACGGCAGGTCGAACGTAAGACACATCCCCGATTACTGGCAAACTAAGCTACCCTTTTTCTTTTCGCAAGCAATCGAGCGGGTAAAAAGGGTATCCAGTTCATAGACATTCAATATACAAAACACAGCAGCATTAAGCTGCTATTTTACTCTGGTTTCTGAGAGCGTGGTCCTATTCATCTCACAAGCATTTGAATATTACAGACAGACGCTTAAAGGTTAAACTAAATGTATGCACAGATGTTTGTACGTGGAAGAAGAAGCAACATTTTTTAATTTACCCCGAATCGTGCGAGAACTCGGTACCAGAGAGCAGTGCGTGGAGTTTGCCGTCGAAAATAGCTTAATTAAGGAGTGCCGCACCCATAGAGTGCCAATGAAAGTGGTATATGCAAAACAAAAATTTGGGCCACTTTGTGTGCAATAAAGGAAGTTGCAGAACCCGAACCAGGGTAGTTCGTGGAAAGGGCACCTGGTTTGAAAATATTAAAATATTATTGCCACGGATATTCTATCTGATGTACTGATATGCACATCGCTGGAGATATGAAGATGCAATTTATGAAGATCCTGAAAATGATATGGAGGGAGGCTGTTTGTCAATTGCGACTGTCTGCGATCAGTGCTATTACTGCCGGAAGACAGTCGTCATTTATCAAATAGAGCAACAAGAGGCCATCGGCAAGATTGGTGGCCCAGGAAAAGTTGTCCAAATAGACGAATTAAAATTTGGAAAACGGAAATATAATAAAGGTAATTTGATTTCCTTATATTACGGACTGAACCATTTTATTTATTTAAAGTTTACTTTTAAACCCAAAATATCTTTTAAATTTACTTTTAAAGCCAAATTATCTGGATGAAATCACTTTCAGAGTGATCAGACCACCTCTTGTACATATTCTACTATAGAATTTTGTACATTTGTTTTTGTTTTGTTTTTGTAATTTTCTACGGTTTTATTTTGGTGTACAACAAATAGTAAACAAATAAATTAATGAATATTTACTAACTATAAATTGTTTATTTTTTATATGAAGGCGGATTGACGGCCACTGTATCATCGGTCTCATTGAGGATGAAAGTGAAGATTTACGACTAGAGGTGTACCCTGAAAACATCAGGTCAGCGGACGTACCTACAGCCCCTAATTAAAAAACATGTGGCTGAGAGCACCACAGTTTTTTTTAAAGAAGAGGGGCCAAACGAGCATGCGGCTCACCTGATGTTAAGTGACTACCGCCGCCCATGATCAACCGCAACATCAGGGGAATTGCAGGTGCGTTGCCGGCCCTTTAGAAAGGAGTACGCTCTTTTCTTGAAGGTCCCCAGGTCGTATCAGTCCGGAAAAATCGCTGGTGGTAAACTATTCCACAGAGAGGTTGTACGCGGAAGAAAACTCCTCTTGAAACGTACAGTGGTGGACCGCCAAGCATCCAGATGATGTGGATGGTATCGCGACGTTTGCCGCGTAGTGCGTTCACGAAATTTGGCGGCTGGGATTAATCCGAACAATTCCTCAGAGCACTCTCCATGGTATATGCGAATAGAAAATGCAAAGAGATGCAACATCTCTTCACAGTGCCAGTGAATCGAGCCGACCGGAAAGCACTCGGTCGACGACGATTCGAGCCGCTCTGCGCTGGATGCGGTCAAGTGGAAGGAGCTGGTACTGGGGAGCGTCAGCCCAGAGATGGGAACAGTATTCCATGTGCGGCCGAACCTGCGCCTTGTAAAGTTGCAGGCGGTGTGCCGGCATGAAATACTGTCCCGCTCTGCTGAGCACGCCAAGCTTTTAAGAGGCCAATTTGGCCTTCTCTTTCAAGTGACCACGAAACTGCATGTCACTCGATATGTCGACGCCGAGGATTCCGATACTGGCTGAGGCAATAAGGGGGAGTGCCTTGAATCTGAGGAGATACGACAAAGGGGTTCTTTTTAGCGGTTAACGCCCAAATTTGTGTCTTCTGGGGGTTAAACTGGACTAGATTTAGTCGCCCCCAATCCGAGACTCTGTTCAGCAAAGACAGTTCATACAGACTTCTGAAGGGCGTATGATTATTTGAAGAACATGGGTACATTCACAAGAAGGTGAACCATTCCAATCCCGATAACCCATTTGTTGCCCCTGATGGCACTCACGCTCAAAGGATCGAATCACAGTTAAAAGATTCTTCAATAAATACAATTACAACCACCCAAAAACCTTTTTAGATATTATTATACAATATTTGTGGAGGTCAGTCCAAAAAAAAATTTATGCAATTAATTAAATCAATTAACCATGACTATAAATAAATGTTTTTATAATATTATATTTGGTTGTTTCTTTTGATCAAACGCTAGTACCAGAAGGTATAAATCACAAACCGAATCTGTCAACCCCGACTTCCACGTGGTCTTTTCGATCTTGCCCCTAGAGTGTATATGAAAACCCTGAAGCGCGGAGGGAAAGCCGGAAGCTCACCTGCGCAGCTTCAGCTGCTTGGTAGCCTTCGGCGACCAGCCTCAGCCCCTGCGGCTCCTACGCTGCCTGCGCTTAGTTACGCAAGGGCGAAGGGGCCGCACTTCTCGCAGCGCTGGAACAGAAGCAGAATCAAAATAGTATTAATTCCTATGGTTTTTTCCCACGCTGAATACTCCCATTCCCACCGGG